CTGATTCTACTGGATTCTTTATGCTTAACTCCACAACACAGTATTGACTCAGTGGTGGAATAATATTTTCTAGTCTGTGAAAGGCTGTTGTCTTATGATGGTAAGCATCACGCGCTTGTGGAAGTAAAATATTCAATCCAGTGGAAGAAACATATTTTAACAGTGTTGCAGTCCTAGCTTGGTGGTCAAGCTTTTGTTGTAGTTCGGTAGAAAAATATTTTCTTACCAGTTGGATCTGTTGATGGTTGGTAATTCTGTTCAATAATTTACTACAGATTCGTCAACTACGGTAATTGCTTCTTAACGACATTGTAGTTCTGTTGTTATGTCTTCTAAAACACAAAGTGTTTGTGTTATTTCATATAACAACAGTTGAAAAGGAATTATATGTCATATGGGAGTTATTATTATGGATAAAAGTTTTCACTTGTGGAAAAAGAACTGCTCGTAATGATACAGGGCTGAGATTGATTATCAGGATTAGAGTATCGTTACAAAATATTGATCAGGTCATTGTTGTTCAATGTAGGTATATTGATCTGTCAGTGACAGTATTGTAGTTAGGCGATCAGTCCATCGCTAGTTGATGTCAATAGGGGATAGATATCACATGTATCCAGGGATTCTGGTCCTACTCTTCATATCTCTACAGTAATACCGGTAAGTGCCTTGCAGATGTTTTCAATGTATTTTACCTGAAATTCCCTGATGATGATTAGCGTGTTATTTTTAATTGGCTTAAATGTGATGCTGCATCATCATCTCAAATACAATTGACTAATGACTTCTGCTGGTATAGCAGAGTGTTAGATATGCCTAGATCGACAGTGATGAAAAGCTGAAGAGACAAGCTACATATCTCAGATCCCTGATGGATATATAGGGATTGATGATTGTAGGTGAAGTTCTGTGAATACTTAATTAATGTACTGGCGTATTAACGGATCAGAAAAGGAATCACTGCTAGTATCGATAGCTTTGTCAGGTGTCTGGTGTTGAGCTCATGTACAGGATTATACAGGGCACAGAAGGGATTATATCAGATCCTGTTGGAATCAGACTTCTAGCATTACACTGTTACATCATTTTGTCAAGAATTACCTGGTAAAGTAGTATGAGATGTCAGAATTGACAAAGTACATTATCAAATATCACCTATTTTAACTTGATATCATGCTTGACAACTGGAAGAGCATTGAAGGTTTAATATTTTGATCAGATCCTGTTCAAAGTTCCTCCAGAAATAATTCCCCTTTTTTGTACCTTGGACTTAATTAAACTTTGGTTTTAACTTTGTTTCAAATATGTATGTGAATTTTGCAATGCAGAGATTTCAGTATGTTTATTAATGCATTTATTTTCTGTCGTATGTAAAATAGATATTAGTTTTTCGTATGTGTAAAGGCTAGAGGTGATACTTTGTAAACCAGTAGCCAATGACAAGAACTTGTACAGGTTTTCTATGTGTTTATTGGGTTGTTTTAGTTATCTGATATGTCAGGTTTTATGTATACAACTGCTCTAGCTAATTAGTGTGATTCATTGGTATCCAAGGATACCTCAATATTTTACAGTCCAGGTAGGATTATTACTGAGGCTTAGAGTTCTCTTCTTATATATGTAGCAATTATGGCACATCACACTTTGTATGGTAATATCATACCCATGCAACAAGTGCTGTAAAAAGCTGAGTCCACATAATTGAAAATATTTACAAAACATGTTTACTTGGCCTCAAGCAACTGTTTTCATAGATTTATCATATATTTGTTTTCATTTGGTCATTTTTCTATGATTTTATTAATTTCATATGATACAAAGAAATTTTGATAAATACCTGATATTTTCAACTTTGCAGCCGCTGAAGTTATGTACTTTTGTAAGTCATCAGGTCAACATTTCAATTAATATTCAATGTGAAACTCATATCAAATACATTTATTACAACTTACATTGTAATGCTCTCTGTAAATAGAATATCTACCACCATCAGGGGAAATAACTCTCAAATCTTGAACTAGACTTAGTTAAGTCAGAAGTATTTTTGGTAATTTATGGCAGCAAACATTTGCAATGCAATTTGGACACAACTTTCTTTTGAATTTAACAATTTAAATGAAATGTGGTTTCAAAAATCTCTTTACATGTTTCATATTCTAAATTTTATCATCAGAACGAACAATAACTTTTTTTTCATTATTTGAAAGCTACTGTTTCAGATGTTATATTTCAATTAAATGATGGCTGAAGTCTTCACATGCCTTCCTAATTTAAATTCTGTACAAGCATCCTGACTTTGATTGCTTATATCATGTTTTGTAATGGAGTTTTGTTTATATCTGCTTGTTTGTCAGTTTTTCGTCAAGAATCAGATTTTGGAATAGGATGAAATCCATTTTAGCAAGTTATCATGTTTCTCAGTCAGTTTGGCAGGTAAAAATGTCTTTAAAGAAAAATTGTCTTGTGTAATTGGTCCATAATTTATAGAATTAATGTCCTAAGGGGCAGCTTGACTTTTGAGTGACAGTAGCCATAGTTTTGGTTAACGACTTCGAAAGGATTTTTTTCAATATCGTTAGAAGTTAAAAAAGACCGCTTTCCTTAGACTGCTACTCAAGAGAATGATTGTAGAAATATAATTGCAAAACTTGAGCTGTAAAATTGAAATCCTGTATTTTCACAGAAGTATAAGGGAGCATCAGAGTGGTGTGAACATCTTGACTGTGAGAGCGAGAATATGAAGAAATTTGATCAACCTTGTGTGATTTGTAACCTAGTTGACAACCTCCATTCCTTATCATCTGTTAACAAGTTTAATCCAAAAAATTTTCAATAATTCCATGGTCATTAAGTGTAACATTGACAAACTAAATTTGAGAAATAACCTATTCTAAGTTAAAGGTGGACAAAAGTTGTAATGTTCTTAAGTAGTATTCACACCTGGGTTGAAAAATTATCAAGGCTACTTTTCATCTATTTGCTTAGAAGAGATTTGGGAATTCTAAACAGGTCATTGAATGCCTGGGGTACTGTGATTTATCATTTCACTGTAGAAGCATGAAGACTCGAGGGAAATGTGTGTTGTCCATCTCGGAGAGTCATTGAGATTTGTCAATTACTGTAGCCAATATTGTAGAGGATCATGAAATATCGTGATTTGTTTACAGAGGAATGTGTGAGGGATTGTTGGCCAGGGTAAAATTGGTCAGTGTGGGTTTTCCTGTGAGGAAAGGATCGAAATGATGAATGATACTGGGGATTTCAGAAAAGAATATTATACAATTTAAATGATGAAAATATTCAGCAATGATGCTGTACATACATTGTATATTTTTTCGAAATTATTTAGATTTATTTTTCATTTGACGATGAAGTTGTTCAGCATGAAACCAAAAGTTTAAATTCTTTACAAGTCCTGATCTTGTGCTAAAAATAGACCTGAAGAAATGGAAAGATAGATGGAAATTGAGACATCAAGACAAAGTAAGGGAACACAGAAAAATGGATAATGTATGGGACGACATGTGTTAATTTGTGACCGTGTGTTACAATAATGTTATGACAAGAAAGCAGAAGCAGTGCTGCGAGAAACATTGCTCAATGGAGAATGTTGATAGAAAAATAGCAACATATTAAGGTGCTTTAGTATGGCATGTAGCCTGGGGGGACAGGTTTGATGCAGGGTGATGGAAACACTGGTATTAATATACTGACAAAGTAAAGGGCTATCCTGTATCACACAAAACACTTTCTTACCCTGTACAAGAGGGAGGACACAACAACACATGGAGAGACTTAGCAACAGATGTTGCTAGTTTTCGCCCTGCATTCTCTGGTCGGCTCATTGTGGCGACATCTCTAGCATACACCTACCAAGACAGACACAAGGACGTTGGTGTTGGTGAAGGACATGTTAGTTTAGACCAGCTTGTGGAATTCTATAGAAATTGATGGTGTAAATCAAACAAGAGAAACATAATGTACTGAGACACAAGACGGAACAGTTTTAATTTTGGATTTTATATTATTCCACTCCAGTGTTATGGTACTGGTGAGTTTAAAGTTTGTCAAATTTCAGTTGCTGTCTTACAAGTAAAGTCAGGAAAGAATTGATGTCTTTGAGTGTACAATTTACGACTTCTGTACTCTTCTGATGGAGCATATCCCTGGACATTTAGCATAGAATAAGTTACCATAAGTCTCCAACAAAGACAACACTTAATGCAGTTTGAATCAATTATGCATTACATGTGACAATGCTAGAATACTCAACCTCTTTTAATGGTGTACATGCACATTTTGGTAATTGATGAAAATACATGTATTTGAGAAAGTGAGAGTTGTGCTAATGTTTACTTGCAAATTCTTTCCTCTGAAGAGAACACTTACTTTGGATTCATACAGTTGAACTTTCTGATTCAAAGAAATCAGAACTCTGTGGTTGAGCAACACAAGCTGTGCCATGTGGAAGACTTGTGTGTTTGAGGTTAGACCAGGCATTGGGCCACTGTAATCAAAGCCAGACTGGAGAATTTGTAGCTCCAGAGACTTGTCACCATGTGCTTGTGTCAGGGTTGATTTTTTGGGTAATTTTAGGCTGGATAATATCTTCATATTAACCTTAACTAGTACTGCAGCTAAACATAGAGAACAGCTTAGTGTTGCATGATTTGATTTGTTTTGATAATCGTTGTTAAGATTTCTGTGAGACAAGGTCCTTTGTCGTTTAATTATGAAGTCTTTATCACATACTTATGTATTGTCTATTGAAATGTAGATTATTATAGTGAAGAATTTTTCTTGAGAGGAATTTTGACAGATGATATCTTCTGCTGTTTTGTCAGGATAATCAGGAGGTTGATTTCTTGTGTGGCTGGTACTTTGTTAAAATATGAAGATAGTTTTACGTTTCCTTTGAGTGAGATTTGTTTTTTAAAAAAAGTACAATTTAAATTCCATAACATTTTTATTTAATATTACCTGTGTTTGATATGTTTCAGGAGGATTAACGGACTGTAGACGCCCCAGTGTAAACCCTACAAAGGCCTGAAGGCCCGGACTCCCGTAGTAGTCCCATAGTTACCCCCCTCCACACCGACCCTAGACGTGTGATCCACACGGCCCTTTTTGTATTGGTATACGTGACATGGCAACAGACAAAACCATGGTGCAGACAGACTCCACACCCACTACAATGTTAACCGTACGCATGATCATGCAGGGAAAGGTATGTCAACGTCAGATTTATGTCATGTCAACATCAGATCAACATCATTTAAGCATTGGTTCTTCATCTTGTCAACAGGAGAGATATATAGAATGTCTACTCATTCAATGTTTCTCAGTTATAAGATAATATTGATGTTTAGCAAAGATATTGCATACTATGTTTGTATTTCGGATTCTAAAAGTTATTTTCAGTAAATTAAACAGGGTATGTGAGGTTGTCATATTAGACCAGGTATTATATATTAAGTCATAGATAATATTTACCAAGTTCATGATTTCTCATTAAACCACAAATCTTGAGGGCCCTATAGGTCACTTACCCTTCTGATAGATCAGAGGGTGGGATGAGATACAGATTTTTTTTTTAAGTGTAAAATGATTGACTTGTCTGGAATCTTGGAATATGTTGAAGTTAGGGTACTAGGTCTCGACTTATGTTACCGCAGGGATGTATTGATGCTGGATGAAAATGTCAGTTCATTTTATATAGTTTGTATATAATATAGGAAAAACAGTGCTTAAACATAAGCGCTGTCTCTTTCAATACATATATAATAGAAAAAAGCAGTGCTTGAATGTAAGCCCCATTTCTTTCACAATTTGGATTGGAAAGTCATCCTTGTAGCTGAGGATTTTTACCCATACTCTATTGCCAAAACTACTACAAATACTTTCTCTCCCATAGCCCCAGTGCATTGTAATTGTAGCTACCTAAAGCTTGTGCCAGAATTTCTTTTCTGCCTGTCAAACAACAAACCTCTTCAGTACTTAGGAGTCCTTCAAACACTCCTACGTCTCAATCAGTTATATATATATGTGATAACTTGAAATCTGGGACCATGTTGGTGATAATGATGAGATGAAGTTTAGTTCTGTAGAAGCAATTTTCTGAGTCCAACAAGAAGTTATGATAGGTATGTTGAAGGCTATAGACCCAAAGATAAAGAAAATATTGATGTCTGTGGTCAACCATTTTCTAGCCTTAAGTTTCCCTTAATGATGTTGCTTACTCTAATTATCTTACTTAACACTCTGTATACACATTTGTAATCCAATCCCCCCAAAGTGTGACCACCCTGACATGTGATATAATCTTTCCTAGTCTAATGAACCCTGTTAGGGGAAGTACTGACAGCAAGGGGTCAGTTTGTAATTACAGAAAGATATTTATATGGGTATAGAGAGAGCTATCTCAGATTCTAATCTCAACATGTGTAGAGGTGGAGGGTGAGGGGACAAGATTATACCCAGTAGAAGGGTAATTACATATCTACTGTATTATATAACACTATGGTCCTATATAAATATTCTGTGGTAAAAGGTGTTGATTGAAAACAAAAGCTGATTATTATGGTAATGATACAGTAAGGCACAGTCTGGAAATCATGTGGCCATGATTATCACATTACATTTGACACTAATTATAATGAACAGCCAATCTTGATTAATGTATATGTTATAATGATCTTACATCATAACTGATGTATAATTATGTAAGTGATAATTATAAATCAGAATCCATTTAAATAAATAAAAATGTTGGTTCATAAAGATAAGATTTATTTTAAAGGAAAATTTGATGCAAAAAAAAGGTAAAGTTTGTAAAACAAAAAAGGCAAAAAAATCAACTAAAAATGACAAGTTGATAAATATAAAAATCATTAAATCTTTTGAACAAACACCAGTGTAAGCTATTTTTCTGAAATTATGTGATATATTGTGTCAACTTTGATTCTTCTAAATTTAGACACCACCATAATTTTTTTAAAGACCAAACAAAATTAAGTGAGCTGGTGTAATTTACTTCAGGGAGGGGTAATTATCTTTGTTGTAATTAAACAAGGGGAGGGCTCATTATCTGTACTGTAATTAACGTAGCCAGGCGTAATTATGTAAATAAGGGTAATTGTTCTAATGCTTTTACACTATCAGTCTAATTAAACTTCACAACCATTTTATCATGTAAAAAAATACAATCCATTAATTTTAGTAATATTGACTACTGAGTTATTTGATCGCTCTCCTGAATGGAGTATCCAATTAAAATCTGTTGACAGTGGTAGAAACACACACAAAAGTATTTCACAGGCATTTTTTCCAGTTTTGAAATGCTATAGGAAATTGTACATGATTTATCAATGAAGTCTGTGATGTAAGTAATTAAAGTTGTTCTCCACTCACCATATTGTATGGGGTTATAGATTTGACTTTCTGTCTGTCCTTCATCATCAGCATTGGAGGAACTCTCTTTTACATGGTGCTATAAAATTTGATGGACAAGTACATATTGAGCTGCATGTTAAAATTTGTTTTTTGACCTCAAACCTCAGTTATCAAAATGTTTGTCAATCTTGTACTTTCTAGATTTTGTATAAAGCATTTTCATGATGAGACATAAGACACCTCCATAGATCTCTGAACATGAATCCCCAAGATTAACCTGCAATACTTTGTTTCTGTAAGATAACTTTTGCAGTGTAGTCTGAGTACTTTTCCATGTACAAAGTCCACCATACTGAGTGACGTCTTCCAGATTCTCGTCAGATAAGAGCCCAAAATCACTGATTTTAGTGATTCTGATTAATGAAGTATTTTCATGTTAGATCAATTTATTTTACAACATTTGAATACCACCATTTAGTCATTACATATGGGTGACCATACACTGTGTAAGAATGAATATGGTGACCAAACAAATTGAATCTGTAGACAATGTTACCTTTATTATTGGAGAGTTCTATTAAAGGGTAGTAACATGAGAAGTGCATTACGGGTAGCTGTAATCAGTATAATTAGTTGGCTGGCAGTCTTTTGAAGTGTTGTTGGCTTGTATGACAGGAAAAGTCATGTGACAGCCAACACCAGCACCAGGTAATTAAAACAGCACATCCCATGACAACTTGCCACTGAATAGCGCCCCCTTGTGTCAATGATATACTGGTATCTGAATGAAGAGTACACGAAGATCAATATCATATTGGTAGTGTTTGTGAGATGTTGATACTGGACTGAAATCCCAGTACAGGATCAAAATAACTCGGTGTCTTAAGCCAGTTGTGGCGTTTTCAAAATTAATGAAGATAAATGTAAAAGCACTTGAAGTGTGGCAACTTGTGATGATTATGTCTTCGGAATGTAATTATTTCATGTCAGCTGAATGTCTCTAGTTTATGGGTTTGTTTTTGTTGGTCAGAGATTTCGCGAACTTCTTATAAAGGTGTCGTACTTTGGACCAGTGATGTGACCATCAAGCAAACTTAAGAGACATTGACTAAAGATTAAGCAACACAAATTAATTTTCTTTTTTTTTAGTTTATCGTCTATTTAAATGAATTTTATGATTTTAATTAAGAGCTGATATTGTGAAATTTATTTATTGATTCTTGAAGTAAATGGTATTATCCGAACTAGCTAACTTAATTTTGAAGACATAAATTTAAGGTTAGTTTTCTTTGTATTCAATAACCATAGAAGAAGATTGTAGCTATGACATGTGCTGTGTGTAGTAAAAATCCAAGGAAATGGTGTCAACCTTATATAGCTAAACTGTGAACACACGAAAACACTCTTTGATGTTTGGCTGTATGGTTTTGTATGGCAAGGAGACGGACCCATTTTTTCCTGTGAAAACACCATTTGACGACTTTTGAGGTCACATCCCATCTGGTAAATCTACCTCTGGGTATTCGTCACCATGGAACTGGTACTTATCGAGATTGTTTTGCATTACCTCTGAATCACATTGGCATTGTTTATTTAGACAATTCAAGATGGCTGCTATTAAAGGAACCGAGTTTAGGCTACCTGTTGGGGATGACCTTGCTGGCATGAAATTACCCCTAGGGGAGGCGCTTTAGATAACGCAGTGAATGTCATTGTCTTCAAAATGCTGTAACATTAGTTATTTGGTGTTTTACAACGTCTGTTCAGCACATTTTCTGACAACTACCCTTTGTCATTCCAGGAACTTCCTGCTAATATTTCTTTTATGTGTTTACCGATACTCCCGATTCGCCCGATACTTTGAACATTTTAGGCGTTTTACTTTCTGTTCATGCAAGCTCTTGTTGGAATCCTGACAGTTCAAGGATTATTCTATCATTACTTATAACCTTGACATTTAACATTGCAAGTGTCTGATATCACAATTTATAAATGGCACATCTACGTATCAATTGAAGATGTTTAAATTTTGGTGTTTAGAAACAGCTACCCATTGTGCTTTGGTTTTGATTGTGCTTTAGATGGAAATGACATTTGAGAAGTAACAGTGATCTTCAGGGATCAGTAATGGAAATATGTATAGCTGAAGTAGTTTATGAATAGAATAAACAAAAAGATGCTAAAAAGCTATTTTTCTTGAATAAAAAAATTTAACAGAATTAATTTCAAAAACTTGATCTTTTAACCTTGAAACAGAAAAAATGCTCAAAACTGGAAGATTGCTTAAAAATAGAAAATTGCTTGAAAATAGAAAATTCATGATTAGAATTAAAAATATCTTTGTGGTTATATATATCAGAAACTTCTCCATTTTGATGTGACAGGAAAGATACATTATACCAAAAACCTAGATTTTTTTATTACAGTCATTAGTCTCACTGCGGCTACTAATCTTCAGTGGACTTGAATTGACAAGACAAAGTTTCCCCAGCGTGTACAGTCACCTGCTAGTAATAGCTGTCACGTTGTGTTAGGGATGGATTCGTAAGGTTGATCCTTATAATCTGCTCAAGATGGACACTTCGGTGGCATCACTTTGGATTAGGTCAGGTTTATTTCGATGTGCTAGGTTGCAGTGATTCCAGTAGACAACAGAGGTTACCAGGGAGGTTTTCTTTTTTTCCAACAAATGTGATATTGTTCTGTAGGACAAAGCTGCAGACAATATAGGTTAGAGGTGATGTGTTGTTTGACAAAACAACAGATCAAGTTAGCAAAAGGTTTGGTTTCGCAGATTTAAAGAAGTTTATAATTCAACGATTGGAATTAATATGC